AAAATTCGATCCAGGACCCGCAAGAACCGCCGTCGCCATCGACATCACCAGCGACGGTGCCAGCGCCTGTGGTTCCATCAGTGGACATGCTGCCGGGGCGCATTACCGAGGAGGAGGCTGCTGCCCGACTGCTTACTAGCTGTGCTTGCATCCGGGTGTCATCTGCCAGGAGGCTGTGCAGGGCCTATCGGTTGACGACGATCAGGCTGACATGTCGGTGCCTCATCCTGCTGCGCCGAGGGTCGGCGTATGCTTGCGCTGTTTATGGGAATGGGGCGTCTATGGGCGACTTCTGGTTCTCTCGAAGGTTGGGATGCATGCGTTTTGAGAAGGTTGTTTTTCTGGTCTGCCTCGCGAGAAAAAGGTTGGTGACCAGTCTTGTCTCTAATGAGGCTCTCTAGTCTAAAGAAGGCCGGCGCCGACCCTAAGGCACCCTCTGCTTTCACGAGTTGCAGAAACCAGTACTTACATATTATATTCTCAGCCTTTGAGAAGGCACGGTCGTGCATAAGTGCTTCCAGCTGATTACATTCCAACTTTCCAGAACCAGAGCTATGGCCGTCTCGTCGAGTGAATCTGCTTCACAAAGATTCCGCCGCTTATTGATGGGATTCGTTGTGGAAACACAGGTGAGATCCAGTTTGATTTAGAAGGGGCGTGTGGGTCCCGGCCAGCCCTCCCTGCCCACACCACACCGCTCACGCTGGATGTGAACATAGTTACATAATTGCTGAATCCAAGTGCAAAACCGTGCAAGCATTCTGCTATGTGGATTTTATCTTGCTTGACGACGTGTCAAGCTCTGAGGCCACACCTCATTCCAGTGTGGTATTCGCTGTTCTGTACATCTGAAGTCACAATCAACGGCAGTGAGCCCTTTAAACACAAAACCCCCAGGGCCTCCAGAATTCTGAGATGAGCAGGGAAAAAACTAAACATGCAGTCATCCCTCAACCCCGACAGTTCCAACACCCCAGAGCCCTTGTGTAGCGGCGTGCGCAGTGTCAACATTGTAGCACGGCAGCAACCGCCTCCCCTAGCAGGACATGGAAGAGCATGCTCGAACTCAGCGAGAATCTGTGCAATCGTTTTTGAATTCATGAACTCAGCGGCTTTATCACTCGCAAAATGCTGCCATGTTTTTTGCTCCTTGGAGCAACCGTCAAAGGTTCGGGGAAATCAGCCACAACCGCCTGTTGCATGTTTCGTGAGGCATCTCAGCGCCACTGGCAGCTTGAGTGAGGGGATGCCCCAAAGCAGGGCGCTTGTATTCGCTTGATGATGCTGATTCTTCCGGCGCGGGTGGTGGTCATCATCATGCTGCTTCTGGTGATGCGGTGCCAGAGTCGCAGCAAGATGCTGCCAGCACAACCTTTCTAACAGCTGAGCGGCTAGGCAGCCTGCAACAGCTGCTGTGTTTTGTGTCGTGCTAGTGCAGTCACCGGCCCACGTGTCTATGTTTGACAAAGGAGGCAGGCCATTCCTGACAGATGTCTCCAAATGATCCAATCGCCAGTGCTCCAACCTAAGATGATTCTTGTCTTGCGGCACACTTGCAGAATCTTGGAGACAAGGGAGCTCAACCAGTTGCCAAGAAAAAGTTGTACAGGAAGAGCACTTTGGACGTTGAGATCCCCGTCCTGAAGCTCCGTAATTGTAGTAAGGGACAGGGACTGAGTGCACGGTTTGGGTTTGGCTTCAAGCTCATTGCCTCCTTCGTGGGTCTGGAGGCGAGGTTTTTGGAATTAGCTCCAAACATCTTCTTATGGACAGTTCCAACTTGCGGTGTAGACTCAGCACCTTGCCCTTGTTGTCCTCTGATTGCCAGGCCATGGCCAGTGCTGCGGTACAAGTCTCTAGAGCCCCGGCTTCAAGCATGCAACAGACTACAGGATGGTACGAGGAAAGCCTTGTCGCTGTAATCTGTAGCTTATGACTTACGATCTTCATGCAAACTTGCTGCCATGCCTCTCCACAAGCCTAAGGCAAGGAGGTGGTGACCGAACAGGACTTGTGCAGCACTGACAGTGGGACAAGCTGCTCGACTGCTTTGAGGACAAGTCTTCTTTGAAAACTTGAACTCGCCAAGATTCGCCAAGCATCAGGCTGCTCTTCGGCCACCTCTGCCGGCGCCTCCGTAGGAGCTGCCGAGCCGAGGCACAGCCGTCGGTCGCGGGGAAGCGGGATTTGTGCCATTTGAGGCTCAGTCGGCCGTATGACAAGGTGCCGGGCTGCATGCTGCAAGTCTCGCTCCTGGTTTGACTGGGGTGACGGCGTCAGATTAGAAATCCGCCCAGGCGTGTTGTCAACATACAGCATGGAACATGTGGTTGTGCAATCAGTGCATGTGAGCAACATGACTTTCTTGAGCTTGAGTGCTTGCGCGGTTGAACATGTACAGCAGCTGACAGCTGACACAATCATTGTAAGGTTTTCCACAAACTGAAAATGTTTCTCTACCATGTTAGATGAAACTCGGAGCAAGGTAACCGTGTAAGGGAGTACCCATTGCTGTTTTGCCTGTCAATGTCTACGATTGACCAATTGACCTTTGCAAATGTGTGTGTGTGTGTGTGTGTGTGGACACTCTGTCTGCCAAAGAAAACTGCTAGCCAGTTGCTTCATGTCATGTATTCGTTTATTCAGCATACAGCGACCTGGCGCTTTTGCTCTTAGAAACCTGGATGGGAGTGCATTCCTATACCTGCAACCGAGATGCCCAAGATTGAAATTTCACGCTTGTGGGAAAATTAGACGGCCTTTGAGCCTTTGCAGTGTTTGCTTCTGTCAGTTTTTCCTGTGTGCAGTCATGCACAGTTGCATGCAGACATGTCAGTGATTGATACATAAACTGGGAACAACGTGACCAAGCTTTTGCAGCACCATTTCAAGAAAAAATGCATGTACAGGTCGACGCACGGCTGTAGATCGAAACCTACAGAATTTTAGCGATGTTGAGGGAGGGATTGCGCCGGAAGACGTTCCAATGTGTACCTGCTTAAAGAAACTGGCATGGGTGACTGAGGTCGCAGCTTGCAGTTTCAAAATTTTGCGGTAGGTTTGGTTCACAGGCCGTGTACAGTCACGCTCGTGCTGCAAGTTTCAAACATGTCAACGGTTACATGTCAAAAGTGCTGTGCCAGCAGTTGCGGACATGTGAGTTTCAACATGTCAAGCTGCATTGAAGCAAGTTTTCACATGCTGGAAGTTGACTTGTTGTGGTGTAAGAGTTCTGGGCCTCAGTTGGCTGAAGACCCCTTCAGAATCAACACACTTAAAATGTTGAAAGAACGCAGTGGAGAACTTGTGCGCTAGGGGTGCACAAGAAAAGAAAACAGGATCCACAGACCTCTCCGAGAGGTCCAGCCATGCGGATAGAGAATATGCTGAGTAACTAAGTTACTACATCCTCCGGGAGGCTGGCAAAAGTGTGTGTGTGTGTGTCAGTGTGTGTGTGTGTGTGTGTGTCTATCTCTCTCTCCCCGTCCGTTTGTCGGTTCGTCTGTCTGTCTGTGCGTGCCCATCTACGCCGGTTGTTTGGCTGATCAAGCCATGTTTGCTATGATGGAGCCACCTTCCAGGATGTTCTTGTCAACTAAAACAACTAGACACCAGTTCAACTGTGTTTCTCAAGTCCCAGCTTGACTGATAGCAGCTGGTTGATGCCCGCTCGGAGGCGTACTTAGATCCTCGCTGTACGAACTTGAACTATTTTCATGCGGCTTGGCTTGAATCCACTCTTTTTTGCCGTGGCAGCTGCCACTTTGGAAGGCATGTACAGTTTCCGGCTTTACCTTTACCCGCTGCTCTTGGGATCTGAGGATTTTGCCTGCATTGACAGCCTCATTTCAAGTGGCCACTTTACCAAGAGAGCCTTGCTGCACATCAGATGTTCTTCGACCAGCGAATCACACCAATCATCAAAGCGCCTAATTGAAGGGGAGAAGTCCGGATAAGATCCAAGGGCAGCGCAGTTTGGTGAGCATCCCTCACTTTGCAAGGACAAGACTTGAGCGAGTGCTGCAGAGGACAAGGAAAAGTAGAGCTGCACGTCATGCTACTTGGAAGCAGTGGCAAATCCTTGGAATCTGTTGGCCAGCAGACTGTACGGAGCTCAAGGGGTGCTATGCCTGTTTTCACCGCAGAGGATCTGCCTACAGGGCTTGTCGGCTGTGGTTCTGCTGTCGCCATGCTCACACCTGTAATGCTTAGACAACACGATTGACACTCCAAAATTCCAAGCACGTGAAGGTCCTCCGAAGCCTGTGAAGCGCTCGTGGTGGTCGTGAGCCTTACCAGATGCGGGGCATTGGCTGCAGTTGCAGTTGCTGCTGCAATCAAAGCCACGTCTCTCAGGTTAAGAAGCTACCTGCGGCACGAGTCAACATCAATAGAGGACCCATTCCTGCGGTGTGCGTGTCTAGAACCCCGCAATTTTGCCGGCCGAGACCGGATGGAGTATCGTATCAAGTACGACCTGTATTGAAAGCGTAAGCCCAGACATGCACGACGTGCTCATTGCCGAAAGGAAAGCCTGGAAGCGAGCTCGCGTTGCACCAGCGCGTGGTTGCACGTGACTCGGAGGACCCTTTCCGCACGTACTGGTAGCTTGCAGCGATGCGTAGAAAGTTCTCCGTATGATCAGCACGGGCGTTTTGAAGAGCCCTGCGGCGTACAACCATGTTGCGCAATGGTGGGACAGGGTCGATGCTGCAGCGTAAAAATCCTGACTGCCAGCAGCTCACTCAAGTCTCTCACGATCTGTCACTTCTTGAGACGTTCCATGCCATCAGAGCTTGAGATCTGGTTTCACTGTGAGATTGATGCTCTGCTGCTGCCCAGGATCCTTTGGCGGAGATTGGCGTGTTTAGCTTGTTGTACCTGCCTGAGAGATTCAATTCAAGGCGTAGCTATACCCATTATAGCTGTCATGGAGCTCGATTACACTGGAGTTCTCACCAAGGCGCCAATGCGAGAAGACGCCCCAGTGACCCAGCAAGATGAAAGGCTTGTTCGCATCTCTGAGCATTGGTTCAGTGCTTTGGGGCCGGTTAGGTATCTCCTGGAGATGTTGTCAGCGTTCCAGATTGAGGAGGAGATTTGGCTGGTTCTAGAAAATGCGGATGGCGGCGACTTGTTTGGCCGCACGATTGATTTGATCCAGCAATCAGAGAGGGTGACGCCATTTGCTGATCTCAACCTATTTCAAGGGCCACCATACCATGTACAATGAGCAGTCCAGATAATGGGGGCACCTGTGCAGCAGAAACAGCCGCATGTGTTCCTCAGTTTGTTCATAACGTTGCGTATGACTCAGTTATGACCAAAGGCCTCTGAGGCAGGGAATTCAAAGCGCCTTTGGCGGGTTGAGATTCATGCTAACACAAGGCCATCGGAAAGAATCTTTTCCGCACCTCTTGCCCATTGCAGTATGTTGTCGTTCATCTTCAAGGACCATACCATACACTCCTAACATTTTAGCGGGATGCGGGATTCAGTGTTAGTAGTGTGAAAGCGCTTCCCCCCAAAATGAAGCCTCAACACCAGTCATGGGTCTTCAGAACGCGAAGCATGTCCAGAAGCGACTTAAATCGGGCTCGTATCCATCCTTCTAATTCTTCGAAGCTCAGAAGAATCGTCTTTCTAGCCCTTTGGTCCTCAAGAACTCAAGTGGGAGCAAGTCCTCCTGGTCACTCTGCACGCCATCGCAGGTTCTAAAGGATTTTGCATAGGAATGATGCAAGGGGAAGGAGGTCAGCCGGAAAGGACTCCGGAGGTGGGAAAGGCACAGAGGAGTTGAAGGCAATCCTCCTACTATCCTGCCCGTCTTGGATGCCAAAAACCTGAGGGAAGCCTTTGGATCCTTCGGCCCTTTGCGTCATCTTGCTTCCTCAGCTTGAAAGGCTTGGTCTCATCCCAACGGCCATCCGCGGGGCAGATAATGCTTTGGGCCTGGCAGCTGCTTCAAGCTGTGAAGCTCCTCGGCTGCACTTTTTCTGAGCTTCGGTCTCCGGCAGCTGCTGGGGTGCTTTTAAGGTGTGTTGGGAGTTGGTGCTTTTGGTAGTGAAGCTACGGCAAGACGGCTCGAGGCCATCGATGCTGACAGATGTGGGTTTTAGTGCTTTCCTAAATTTGGGATCATATCTCCAGCAGAGGATGATTGCGTGATGCTTCACTGCGCTGATGATGCAGAACCTGAGGTTCCTACACCTGCAAGGCCGCTGGGCCGTGATTGTTTGCATGCATGGGAGCGGTTTCTCGGTCCTCTACCAGGGGGCCAACAGGCTTTCTACTTAGGACTTAGGCCTTCCCATTGGGAGTCCGTATTCATCCGGATCCGGGCCCCCTTCGTCCCGTACCTCATCTGATTGCCAACGAATTTCGTTCCACATCCCGTCCCATACTGGTTCAATGCTCGTTTCAGACCGTGAACATGGACCTCTGAGTTTTCAGACATTGTCTAGTAAAGGCCGGCCTCGTTCCAGAGGGCGCGGATCAAAAATAATGGGCCAGCGATTCCGTCAGCATGTGTCAAGAAACGGATTAGGTGCTGCCAGAAGTAGGGGATCATGCGCTCACTTGCACAAATCGGATGAGATCTCGAGTAGGCTGAGGCGCTACGTAAGTCGACGCAAAAAGTCCACAGACCAGCCCTAAGAATAACTTAAGACTTAAGAAGACGAAATGTACAGGCAGAGATCCAAAATACTTGCGCTGTGGCCTCATGATGAGAGCTTTGAAGGTCAACCCCTGTTCAAGAGGCCCCAAGATTTTTCCAATCCCGGAGGCCTGAACAAGCCTTAGGTGAGCAGCGGCAGAAAACTCCTATGAATGAAGGAGTTTCATAAGAGGGTTCTTATATCAATGGTGGATGCTGCAAAAACTGGTTCACGCATCAGTGCGCGTCAGCATTTTGAAGGCACATCGTCCGCGATAGCTCGCGATCTCGGCTTAGTAAAGACGCAGACAGCTCCAAGGGTCCAATCGCAGATTCTTCCAAGGCTATACTATACAGGGTTTAGGGGTTAGAGTTTAGGGCCGTTTAAGGTTTGGGGAACAGGGCTCCTTGAAAGTATGGGGCGAAGTGCGACTGGCAAGGGGCGCGCGCGCGCACGCCCATGCCCCGTGTCACTAAAACCTGCAGGTTTCACTCATATCTCATTCGCGATAGCTCGCTAGCTCGCGATATGCTGGCGCTGGGACCGTGTCAGTAGAACGTATGGTTCCGTGATAGTGAGTGATACGAGAACAGAAGGTTCAAAGGGTTTAGGCCACGGCTCTGTTTTGCTCAAATCAGACTCCGACCAATGCTATCCGGTTATCACGAAGAAAGTCACAGGAAGGGATGCATCCAGCGTTTTACCCGGCACATTTTTGTCAATCAAGCCGAGCAAGCCTGCTTTGCCTTCCAGCCCGGTCTGTCGGTTGGGTTGGGATGCTGCGAATTGAGTGGGTCCTAATTCAGAATGTGATTGAGTCTTGGACCCTAAGGTTCACAGCCTCCAATAAAGGTCCCCTGTCTAATTGACGCCAGCCTTTCATTCAGGAATAATGTGTTCTGCTCTCTCCTACCATTTTCGAAGCTGGAATCAAAAGCTTACTGCGCAGATCTTTGTGGGGTATGCAGATATGCAGGTTTCGAGCTGTTGGGGATCCTTTGATGTAGACGAATGACCCCATTCGTGCGTCTACGCTGGATGATTCTGGCTGCAACGGATTCTGCAAGAAGAAAACGGGATCCTATTGCGGCCGCCTGATCTGATGCGTACTTGTCCGTGCGCGCCCCCCCAACCCAATCCGCACCACAGCCCGTTACAAGTGAGCTGCTTTGTGGGTCATGGTGGGTTTATTTGCGGCGTGCCAGAGCCACTCTTTTTGTTAAATGTTTGTCGGCGGCTTCTATGTATGGCAAGCGCCTGGGCAACTTTATCATGTACTGTAAACTTGGCAGAGAACTCAAACAAGTGAGTGGACGGCAATTCCTTGGATCAAAAAAGCTTGGGGTGCTTTTTCGCGCCCAAATTAGGCTGCCGCGACATGTCCAATGTTTTTTCAATCAAACAAGGCATCAGCCATCGCGACATATCCTTGGAGAACGTTCTGCTCAGTGGCGGTGATGTTCGACTGATGGACTTCGGCCAAGCTGTGCAAGCACGTATGGAAACAGGCATGCAGACCGCTGAAGACTCCGTAGAGCTCCCCTTCGGGCATGTTCACCTAGGTGCCCTGGAGCAGCTTCTCTTGCTTGTTGTCAATTCTGACGATCCTTGTGTTTTGAGGATTAGAGCTCCTGCATGCTTCTGAGATTCTGCTTTTAGGAATTTGTTTCTGACTTTACTTTGGTGAGGAGCGGCGACACGTGCCAGCATGTTGTTGATTTTTCCCTCGACTAGATATGCGGAGGCGCATGCTTGAACACAAGCCCGTTCGCATTGCGAGGCGAGCTCTTGAGATACTTCGTCCCAGCGGGGAAGCCATACTATCGGCCACCAGAGGCCTACATCCCAAACCAAGGAGTTTCGGCTGACAAAATGGGGCTGGTAGTGCACCAAGTGCTGCACAAAGTAGCATCACCTATGCAAACCCAACCAACGAGTTCTCTAACTGAGAACAGAGCCTTGCCTGGAGCTGCCTGAGGAACTGTCGCAGTGATCTCGCCTTCGAGCTCACGGGCGGGACAGGTTGCTTTGGCACTAACGCCAGCTCAGGACGCGGCGTACGTGCAGGGACGTGTGTATCTTGACTTTCAGGATTTTCATGGCGCAGCACAGGCAGTTGCCTTGCAATCATGCACTCTATGCAATGAACACCTCAGCCTAAACAGCGAAGATAGGACCATGGGCCAGGCAGCCTGGTCGAGCATCAGCGCACAGGCTTCAGCAAAGGGAGTGTTGCTGATGGTCTGGCAGGACTTCTTATTTCACGCTCGCCTGCTGGAAGCTGCAGATCCTGGGCAAGTATGCGCAGCGGAGCCCTGGGGTTACACAGCTCCGCCAGTCGACATCTTTGCCTGCGCCGTCATCACCCCGGCATGGTTTCATAGGCGGTCTCCAAAGGCTCACTGCGCGGCTGTGCCGTTGATGGTGCAAACGACCATGATTTGCCCTAATGCTGAACTGGGACTAACTAGGACCGCAGGCAGATGCTGGCACTCAGACGTGTTGGGATGCTGCTTCAGTTAGCATGGAGGCGAGATTGAGCAGGGGGCGGGGCATTGATGGGTACAAGCTAAGGTCAGTATCGCAATTATGTTCCTGGCAGGGCCACCATGGCGCCAGGCCAAGAGTCCCAGGAAGTAGCGTCGACAAGCGCCAAGTCAAAGTTGTTCAGTTCACAGGCTGTGAGATCACTGTCACTGCGTTGGAGGCTCGACCTACGGACAAGTACTTCCAGTGGGTTCAAAGCAACGGCCTTGCGGCCTTGGCATTGTCCTGGAAGAAGGATGGGCTCCATGATGCATGAAGCACCAACCTGCCTGGGTTTTGCACTACATGTCACGTAACTGGTAAACACATGTCAAGGTCGCACGCTTTCTACTGGCTTTGGCTGGCCCTCCTGTTGTCAGGCAGTCCCGGCGTTAGCCGCAGAGATATTGAGTCAGATGCTGCAAACAGATCCAGAGCAACGGCCTGCCGCTTGGGCACGTTTCATTTTTCCCCCTTGATTCTGACGGGCCAGCAGGCGTTCTTGGTAGTCACCCCTGAGCCAAAAAGTCAGCAAACGTGCACAAAAACAAAGCGTGCCAAAGCTTAAGTGAGCGGCTTCCAAGGCTGTGGAGGCTTGCCTCAGCCACTCCTGGTTTGCGCCGCTGCGCTCTGCGCCAGTGGCCCTCCGGGAGCACCCCTTTGGGCTAAGCCCAATGAGTCCAGGGTCTCCGCGCCTGGCCGGGGATTGCCCGGGCCCCTGCTGCTTCTTAAGGCAGCTTCATGCTTATTGCTAACCTCAAGAATGCAGCCGAGGCTACCGCGAACAGGAGTGGGTATGCCGATCACTTCCAAACCCAAGCCTTTCAACAGCCCCGTCTTTGCATGTGACTTGCTTGCCGACTAGTGCCTAGAGAAGATTCAAATGAGTAGTATTTTGTTCGGGGATTCAAGAACAATCTTTTCTCTGTACAAGACTTCCTCGCCTTGGTGCCCGAAGTCTCGCAGGTTGTCAGTCTTGATCCTATCTCCATCGCGTGGGTTACCGATACCAGACTTAAAAGATTATGGTTGCCTTGGGAAATCACCGCTGTCAGTATGAAGAACAAATCATTGCTTGACTCCATTTCTGAAAGGCCACGTCAGTTTTGGACCACGGCCACCGCGCTGAACATTCGTAAGTTTTTTCGCCCGCAGTCGACTGCAAAGCGACAGTTCAATTGCAAACTTATTTTTTCAGATGCTGTGTTGAAGCCATCGTG